CCTCCCCTCCTCCTCCTCCTGCTCCTCCTCTCCGCCTCACGCCTCCTCCCGTCCTCAACCTCACCCGTCCTCCCCTCCTCCTCCTCCTCCTCCTCCATCCGCTCCTCCTCCTCCTCCTCCTCCCCCCCTCCACCTCCTCCTCCTCCTCCTCCTCGCTTCCTCCTCCTCCTCCTCCTCCTCCTCCTCCTCCTCCTCCTCCTCCTCCTCCTCCTCCTCCTCCTCTGGCGAGCGTTGGGTCGGTCAGCGATCCCCCTACAGGGGGATGTTGGGGCGAACACTTAAAAATACGAAGCCCAAAAAACCCGAAATGCTCAAACATTGCAAAGACAGGGAAACTCGGCCCCAGAGGGTGGGCCCGCGGAGGCGAGCCGAGGGGGGGGGGGCTCTGGCGAGCGTGAGGTCGGTCAGCGGTGGTGCCCCAACACCTCTACCTCAGGGGCAAAAATACTCCCTCCTCCTCCTCCCTCCCTCCTCTCCTCCTCCTCCTCCTCCTCCTCCTCCTCCTCCTCCTCCTCTGGGGAGCGTTAGGTCGGTCAGCGATCCCCCTACAGGGAGATTTTGGGGCGAAAACTTAAAACTACGAAACCCAAACAAAAACAAAAAGATCAAGCATTGTAAAAAGAAAAAACATCGGCCCCAGAGGGTGGGCCCGCGGAGGCGAGCCGGGGGGGGGGCCGAGTGGCTTCTGGCGGCGTGAGGTTTGTAGCGGTCACCCAACAACGCTCTCGACCTCGGCGCAACAACACACCCCTCCTCCTCTCCTCCTCCCTCCTCCTCCTCCTCCTCCTCCTCCTCCTCCTCCTCCTCCTCCTCCTCTTCCTCCTCCTCCTCCCCTCCTCCTCCTCCTCCTCCTCCTCCTCCTCCTCCGCCCCTCCTCCTCCTCCTCCCCCCGTCTCCTCCTCCTCCTCCTCCTCACTCCTCCTCTCTCCTCCATCCTCCTAATCCGCCTCCTCCTCCTACTCCTCCTCCTCACTCCTCCTTCCCTCATGAAGGACCTCTGGCACGTTAGGGTCGATGGCCGTGCTGCGTACCAGGGGATGTGGTGGCGAAAACTTAACAATACGAAGCCAAAAAAAAATTATGCTAACGGCGTTCCCCACATAATGATGTTTTTGGGCTAGCGGGATCAAGCAACCTTTTGTAGAGAAATTGCCGACCTGCCCTCGCCCTCTCCATCCTTTTCTATCACATGGTGGGAGGGGCACGAAACCTGATAAATAACAGGTGATGCGAATACCCTCCTCGCTCAGGCGGGGCCTCCCTGGAGGGGTGGGAGGGGCACGAAACCATGTAAATAGTATGGTTTTCCGATACCCTCCTCGCTCAGGCTGGGCCTCCCTGCAGGAGTGGGAGGGGCACGAAACCATGTAAATAGTATGGTTTTCGGATACCCTCCTCGCTCAGGCGGGGCCTCCCTGGAGAGGTGGGAGGGGCACGAACCCATGTAAATAGTATGGTTTGCGGATACCCTCCTCGCTCAGGCGGGGCCTCCCTGGAGGGGTGGGAGGGGCACGAAACCTGATAAATAACAGGTGATGCGAATACCCTCCTCGCTCAGGCGGGGCCTCCCTGTAGGGGTGGGAGGGGCACGAAACCTGATAAATAACAGGTGATGCGAATACCCTCCTCGCTCAGGCGGGGCCTCCCTGGAGGGGTGGGAGGGGCACGAAACCTGAGAAATAACACTGTGATGCGAATACCCTCCTCGCTCAGGCGGGGCCTCCCTGGAGGGGTGGGAGGGGCACGAAACCTGATAAATAACACTGTGTTCGAATACCCTCCTCGCTCAGGCGGGGCCTCCCTGGAGGGGTGGAGGGGCATGTGGTATGTTATTGGTATGGTATTGGCTTGGTATGGTATGGCTTGGTATGATTTGGTATGGTATTGGTATGGTATTGGTTGCTGTTCTGTTCTGTTCGTGGTTTGGTATGGTATTGGTATGGTATGGTATTGGTATGGTATGGCTTGGTATGGCTTGGGATGTTATTGGTTTGGTATGGTATGATTGGTATGGTATTGGTATGGTATGGTATGGTATTGATATGGAATGGCTTGGTATGGCTTGGTATGGTATTGGTATGGTAAGGTATTGGTATGGTATGGCTTGGTATGGTATGGTTTAGGAGAAGGACGCGGGAGGAGGAGGAGAAGGAGAGGGTGTTCTGGGAAAACAAGAACCCCACTCAGGATGTGGGGAATAAAGATATTAACGGTCTCGTGGGACCCATGGGGTACGACAACATCAACACGAAGGAGAAGCTGGAGAGGTGGGGGCCTCCCTGGGGAGGTGGGAGGGGCACGAAACCATGTAAATAGTATGGTATTCCGATACCCTCCTCGCTCAGGCGGGGCCTCCCTGGAGGGGTGGGAGGGGCACGACACCATGTAAATAGTATGGTATTCCGATACCCTCCTCGCTCAGGCGGGGCCTCCCTGGAGGGTGGGAGGGGCACGAAACCATGTAAATAGTATGGTATTCCGATACCCTCCTCGCTCAGGCGGGGCCTCCCTGGAGGGGTGGGAGGGGCACGAAACCATGTAAATAGTATGGTATTTCGATACCCTCCTCGCTCAGGCGGGCCTCCCTGGAGGGGTGGGAGGGGCACGAAACCATGTAAATAGTATGGTATTCCGATACCCTCCTCGCTCAGGCGGGGCCTCCCTGGAGGGGTGGGAGGGGCACGAAACCATGTAAATAGTATGGTATTCCGATACCCTCCTCGCTCAGGCGGGGCCTCCCTGGAGGGTTGGGAGGGGCACGAAACCATGTAAATAGTATGGTATTCCGATACCCTCCTCGCTCAGGCGGGGCCTCCCTGAGGGGTGGGAGGGGCACGAAACCATGTAAATAGTATGGTATTCCGATACCCTCCTCGCTCAGGCGGGGCCTCCCTGGAGGGGTGGGAGGGGCACGAAACAATGTAAATAGTATGGTATTCGGATACCCTCCTCGCTCAGGCGGGGCCTCCCTGGAGGGGTGGGAGGGGCACGAAACCATGTAAATAGTATGGTATTCCGATACCCTCCTCGCTCAGGCGGGGCCTCCCTGGAGGGGTGGAGGGGCACGAAACCATGTAAATAGTATGTTATTTCGATTACCCTCCTCGCTCAGAGCGGTGGGCCTCCTGGAGGGGTGGGAGGGGCACGAAACCAGTAAATAGTATGGTTTTCCGATTACCCTCCTCGCTCCAGCGAGCGGGGCCTCCCTGGAGAGGAGGGAGGGCACGAACATGGTCACCACGAAGTATTCCGATACCCTCGCTCGCTTCACTGGCGGGGCCTCCCTGAGGTGGAGGGGCACGAACCATGGTAAATAGTATGGTAATTTCCGATCCCTCTCGCTCAGGCGGGGCCTCCTGGAGGGGTGGAGGGAGACGAAACCATGTAAATAGTATGGTTTTCGGATACCCTCCTCGCTCAGGCGGGGCCTCCCTGCAGGGGTGGGAAGGGCACGAAACCATGTAAATAGTATGGTATTCCGATACCCTCCTCGCTCAGGCGGGGCCTCCCTGTAGGGGTGGGAGGGGCACGAAACCATGTAAATAGTATGGTATTCCGATACCCTCCTCGCTCAGGCGGGGCCTCCCTGGAGGGGTGGGAGGGGCACGAAACCATGTAAATAGTATGGTATTCCGATACCCTCCTCGCTCAGGCGGGGCCTCCCTGGAGGGGTGGGAGTGGCACGAAACCATGTAAATAGTATGGTATTCCGATACCCTCCTCGCTCAGGCGGGGCCTCCCTGGAGGGGTGGGAGGGGCACGAAACCATGTAAATAGTATGGTATTCCGATACCCTCCTCGCTCAGGCGGGGCCTCCCTGGAGGGGTGGGAGGGGCACGAAACCATGTACATAGTATGGGATTCCGATACCCTCCTCGCTCAGGCGGGGCCTCCCTGGAGGGGTGGGAGGGGCACGAAACCATGTAAATAGTATGGTATTCTGATACCCTCCTCGCTCAGGCGGGGCCTCCCTGGAGGGGTGGGAGGGGCACGCAACCATGTAAATAGTATGGTATTCCGATGCCCTCCTCGCTCCGGCGGGGCCTCCCTGGAGGGGTGGGAGGGGCACGAAACCATGTAAATAGTATGGTATTCCGATACCCTCCTCGCTCAGGCGGGGCCTCCCTGGAGGGGTGGGAGGGGCACGAAACCATTAAAATAGAATGGAATTCCGATACCCTCCTCGCTCAGGCGGGGCCTCCCTGGAGGGGTGGGAGGGGCACGAAACCATGTAAATAGTATGGTTTTCGGATACCCTCCTCGCTCAGGCGGGGCCTCCGTGGAGGTGTGGGAGGGGCACGAAACCATGTAAATAATATGGTGTTCCGATACCCTCCTCGCTCAGGCTGGGCCTCCCTGCAGGGGTGGGAGGGGCACGAAACCATGTAAATAGTATGGTTTTCCGATACGCTCCTCGCTCAGGCGGGGCCTCCCTGGAGGGGTGGGAGGGGCACGAAACCATGTAAATAGTATGGTATTCCGATACCCTCCTCGCTCAGGCGGGGCCTCCCTGGAGGGGTAGGAGGGGCACGAAACCATGTAAGTAGTATGGTTTTCGGTATGGAGTGGTCTGGAATGGTATGGTAGGTATGGTTTGGTACGGTATGGTATGATATGGTATGGTATGGTACTGGAGGTATGGTATGGTATGGTACGGTGTGGCATTGGTGTGATATGGTATGGTATGCTATGGTACGCCATGGTATGGTATGGTACGGTATGGTACGTATGGTGTGGTATGGTATGGTATGGTATGGTATGGTATGTGTGGTAGGAACTATGGTATGGTATGGTGTGTGTGGTAGGAATAATACTGTGTTGTATGGAAGATGGAGCGGGAGGTGGGTGGGAAGGAGAGGGTGTTCTGGGAAAACAAGAACCCCACTCAGGATGTGGGGAACAAAAACGAACAACACAACGGAACAACAGCGACAAACACAACAAAGGCAACAGCCAAGCTAAACATCGTTGTGGTCGGTCTTTGCATGTTTCGTCGGGTCCTGCAGATCGTAGGCCAGGCTCTGGCAGCGCTCGACAGCCTCCAGGCTGTCCTCGTCGGCCAGGATGCACGCCTCCATCGACAGCGCGCGGAGCTCCTCCACCCGCTGCTCGGCGGCGGCAATGGACTGCGCCTGCAGAAGGGGGAGGAGGGGGAGAAGGAAGAGGAGGAGGAGGAAGAGAAGAAACATAAAAATGAGGAAGAAGAACAACAACTCGACGAAAACAACGAGCTCAGAGGTGGAGAAGGTATCGATACCGCTACTCACCCGTCTTCGCGGGTTTGGGACCTCTTGGGATGCCCTCGTCGCCACGGCTGGATTGACCTCGAAATCTGGATCGGCACGCATCCTGGGAGAGGTCCAGGACGTAGCGGTTTCGGTACCTTTGTGTTCCCCCATGAGCGTCTCGATAGGGGCCCTTGCCCTCAGCAGCCGTGTTTTCAATTTTGCCCCTGGAAAATCGCCCCCTGACCGTTCTTGGGGCGCCTTCTGACCAGCTGTCACGCCATCCGTGGCGACGGAACGCCTCGCCAGGCGGCCAACAAACCTCCACGGGGGCCCCGCGAGGACGAAAACGTGCAAACGGCATGAGCCAGCCTGGGCACCAAACAATATTCAGTTGCACCCTCGGTGTGCGTAGTTGAAAGCTACGAGAAGCGCTATGTGAGCTATGCTATGGAAGCTATGCGGTGCGAGCTACGTGATGCAAACTACGCGGTGCAATCTATGTGGTGCAAGCTACGTGGTGTGAGCTGCGTGGTGCAAGCCATGTTGGGGAAAGCTGCGCAACGCAAGCTGTGCGACGCAATCTAACATGTGTGGTGCGAACCGCGTGGCGCGCGGACTGCGACGTGCAAGCCGCGTGGGGGAAGCCGTGAGATGCAGGCTGCGTGACGCAAACTATGTGGCGTACGGCAACCTGCGTTGCGCAATGTCCGCGCGCGCCCACACGGCGCCCTCGGGGGTGGAACCGGAAGCGCTCGTCGTAGAGCGCCACGAGGGAGCACCTCGGCGACCGTTGGTGCACACGGCGCCCCCGAGCGGCCAGAGGCGCGCGCCAGGCCCAAGCCGGCAGACCCACCCAGCGCCACGGGGCGCCCACGAGGGGCCCACGGGAGGCCACCGGCCGGGCACCGGGCGAAACTCGGGCCAGCCCTGCCGAACGGGACCTGGGCGACGCAGGCAACCCCCCGAATGCAAAAGCACCGCCTGGGCCACTGGGAGGGCAGGCGAGAGGCAATAGGCAAGGCCACACGCCCTCGGCACTCCAGCGTGCGCGAAATCGCCTTGCCCCTCGAGGGCAGGAGGAGGAGGAGGAGGAGGAGGAGGAAGAGGAGGAGGAAGAGGAGGAGGAGGAGGAGGAGGGGGAGGAGGAGGAGGAGGAGGAGGGGGCAGGAGGAGGAGGACGAGGGGGAGGAGAGGAGGAGGAGGACGAGGAGGAGGAGGGGGAGGAGAAGAGTGGAGGAAGTGGAGAGGAAAGAGTAAGAGGGGGAGAGGAGGAGGAGGAAGGAGGAGAGGAGCGGAGGAGGAGGAGGAGAAGAGGAGAGGACAAGGAGAGGAAGAGGGAGGAGGAGGAGGAGGAGGGAGGAGGAGAGGAGGAGTGGGGAGGAGGGGGAGGAGGAGGAGGAGTGGGAGAGGGGGGAGGAGGAAGAGAGGAGGAGGAGGAGGAGGAGGAGGAGGGGAGAGGAGGAGGAGGAGGAAGAAGAGGGAGGAGGAGGAGGAGGAGGAGCGCGGAGGCGAGGAGGCGGAATTAAAAGTTAAGTTTGTAGGAGGAGGAGGAGGAAGAGGAGGAGGGGAAGGAGAGGCAGAGGAGGAAGAGAGGAGGAGGAAGAGGAGGAAGAGGAGGAGGGGGAGGAGAGGAGGAGGAGGAGGAGGAGGAGGAGGAGGAGGAGGAGGAGGAGGAGGAGGAGGACCAATGTAAACCCAAGAGTCATCAACGATGTTGGAATAAACCCTCGCTCCAGGCTCCCTCTTCGCAGGCTCCTACAACGGTACATTGCCATTGAAGGAACTGCCTCGTTGGAAGACAACCGTTTGAAGACCCTGAAGCATGCCAAAACATTGTTCTCGGGATTCCAACCGCACGGGTCAACCTGACTGTTGCGTCTTGACAATCCTGAATCGCGCCAGAACGCCATTCCTGGGATTTCAACACAGCGAATCAACATAATTGCTGCACCCGCATAATCCAAAATCCGTTCAAAACACCATTCCTGGCAAGTTGATGATGGGGATCCATGAAACTCTTGCAAATGTTTAAAACGAATGTGCGCCGCGCTCAGGCGAGAGCCACATTTTGAAAAAGAACCGCCCTCAATCCGTGAAACTCTCGCTATGTATTAAGACGAATCTGCGCCGCGCCAAGGCGAGAGCCACATTTTGAAAACGGCCTGCCCTCAATCCTTGAAACTCTCGCAATGTGTTAAAACCATTGTGCGCCGCGCTCAGGCGAGAGCCACATTTTGAAAACGACCCTCCCTCAATGCATTGTTTTAAGGATGTGCGCCGCGCTGAGGCGCGAGCCATATTTTGAAAACGACCCGCCCTCCGTCTGTGAAGCTGCTGCCAATTTCAAGCTTCAGAATCATAAATGGTGAGGAATCTCAGGCGAAACGCCCGGCGAGCCCAACAAAATGGCCTCGGGGTGCAACAGGGAGAAGTTATTTATAAGGAAAACGAATGGAAGAGGAGGACGAGGAGGATAGGGAGGAGGATGGGGAGGAGGAGGAGGAGGAGGAGGAGGAGGAGGAGGAGGAAAAGGAGGAGGAGGAGGAGGCGGAGAAGGTAGGAGAAGGGAGGAGGCGCGCTCAAAAAACGAGGAGGAGGGAAGACGAGGTGGATGGGAAGGAGGATGGGAAGGAGGAGGAGGAGGAGGAGGAGGAGAAAAGGGAGGAAGGAGTAAAAAGATAAAAAAAAAAAAAAAAAAAAAGGGGGGGGAGGGGAAAACAAGGAGGGGGGGGGGGGTGGGGGGGGGGGGGGGGGGGGGGGTGGGGGGGTTGGGGGGGGGGGGGGTGGGGGTGGGTGGGGGGGGGGGGGGGGGGGGGGGGGGGGGGGGGGGGGTGGCGGGGTGTAAGGGGGGTGTAAGGGGAGGAGGACCTCCTCATCCTCCCTCTCCCCCCGTACTACATCTGGTTTGGGTGGCGGAAAATTGGCCCATCGTGGGAGGGGCGGCGTGAAGCAGGCGGGCCCCGAGGAGCGGGGGCCCTGGACCCCCCCGAAGGGGGTGTCCTCCGGGGCCGGCGGCCTGCCCGCCAAAGGGCCCGCTTTCGCACCGGCCTGGGGCCGTGGAAGGATCGCCTCCTCCTCCGCCTCCTCCTCCTCCTCCTCCATCACCCCCTCCTCCTCCTCCTCCTCCTCTCCTCCTCCTCCTCCTCCTCCTCTCCTCCTCCACCTCCTCTCTTTCTCCTCCTCAACTTTTTTCTCCTCCTCACTTTTCTCCTCCCTCCTCCTCCTTCTCTTCCTCCTCCTCCTCCTCCTTCTCCTCCCCACTCTCCTCCTCCTCCTCCTCCTCCCCTCCTGCGCCTCTCCTCCTCCTCCTCCTCCTCCTCCTCCTCCTCCTCTCCAGGAGGCCAGCGCCCACCGCCCCGCCCCCCCCGGGCTTCGTGTCACCCAGGTGTGGATCCACCAAGTTTCTGCACCTTGTCTGGCCCTCGCTTGCTCTTGCCAATGTATGCCGATGCGCCGCCCAAGCGCGGCTTCTTCCCGTCCCGTCCTGTCTGTTCCGGGTCAACCCGTCCAGGTTCACCTGTTTCGATTCGCCCGTCTCGATGTACCCGTTTGCGTTCCCCCAGTCTTAGCTCGCGCGGGTTATGAGTCGCCCAGTGTTAAAACAAATCGTCTGTGTCGCTTGGCTCGCTCTGATTCGCCCAGCATCGACTCGCCCGAGGGAGTTCGGCTTCTTACATTCATGCAGTTCTAGTTCGCCAGATGCTTTACTCATGCGGTTCTCCTTCGCCCGAGTTTGAATCAACTCGGCTTGTTCGATTCCCCCGCTTTGATTCCCAGCGGTCCAGCCAGAAGCGGGTAAAACAAAAGCAGATGAAACAAACGCGGGCGAATCAAAACAGGATGAAGCAAAAGCAGGCGAGACATCAACAGTCGACGGCGAGCGAGCGGGGAACGTGACAAGGGGCGGGCCTTCTCAAAGGCTCGGAAATCCCCCTGCCCCCTGAACAGTGTTCTAGGACTTCCCCGAAGAAACCGATCATTTCTCCGAATGCGCGCAGGCTTCTGAGAAGTCCCGCCGCCTTCCGAGAGGGCCTCCTCTTCCTCACTCCCCCCCCCAGGCTCCCCGCCGAAACAGGCCCAAAAACGACAGTGAAACCGAAGGACGCCGCTTCCTTTGGTACAGAGTGCCCCCCGAAAGCGGGGGGAGACAAAAGCGGGCGAGACACGAGCGGGCGAAACCAAGGCGGGCGAAACCAAAGCGGGCGACCCAAAAAGGAAGGAAACAGAAGCGGGCGAAACAATATCCCTCCCGTGGAAAGCCTTGGGAGCCCGAGGACGGCGAAACACTACTCTCAATCGGCAGCGCCAGCGGTCGCGGGAGATGAGTCTGGCCGGGCGCGTCGGGAGCGGGGCGGGTGGGAAAGCAGGGAGCGCAAGAGAAAACGGCGAAACACCAGAGGGTGCGTTTCACTCGGGACCCTCATGGCCTCCTCCTCCTCCTCCGCCTCCTCCTCCTCCTCCTCCTCCTCCTCCTCTTCTTAGTATTATTACGCCTCTTATTAGTATGATGATTGATGTTACTCTTCCTCTTCTTTTTCGTATTATTTCTATTATTAGTGTTATTGTTAGTATTAACAAATTTCGTCTTAGCATGACTGGTTTTATTCTACTTATTCGTTTTATTATTACTATTAGTCGTATTACTCTTGTTGCTCTTCTTTTTATCAGTCTGCATATTCTTTCTTGTATAATTATTGGTATTGTTAATATTATTAGTATTAATACTCTTAGTATGATTGATGTTATGTTTATTAGTATGCGTATTATTTGTTGCATTATAATTACTCTTAGTATTATGCACAACCTTCTTAGTATTATTATAATTCGTATTCGTCGCATGATTGTTATATTATTCTCCTTGTTAATACTATTAGTATTGGTATGTGTCGTCTTGTTGTTATTCTTAGTCTGGTTAATGTTCTTCTACTTGTTAGAATTATGCTTATGTTTATGCTTCGGTTTCTGCTTATGCTTATGATTATTCTGCTTTCTATGCGTATTATGTTTCGTATGCTTCTTCTGATTATTATTATTATGCTTCGTATTATTATTATTCCTCCCGCTCTTCGTCCTCCTCCTCCTCCTCTTCATCATCATCGTCATCGTCGTCATCATCATCATCATCACCACCACCACCATCATCATCATCATCAGCATCATCATCAGCAGCAGCATCGTCATCATCATCATGATGAGCATCATCATCAGCATCATCATCATCAGCATCATCATCATCCTCATCATCGTCATCATCATCATCATCATTATCATCATCTTACTTCGTGGCTACTCCATGGGCCTCTCTTCCGGGGTGCGCTCTGGCCAGGGTTTCGGGGCGAACCCCTGTCGCGGTGACGAGAGAAGGGCGCAGCGCGCAGCGACGCGGCCTCTCACACGGCGACGCCAAGGCCCAAAGCCGACCGAAGCGACAGCGAACCCGAAAGCGATCGAAATCGACAGGCCTTAAAGGAGCCTAGAAGGGCGCAGCGCGCGGCGACGCGGCAACGACACAGCGACCGACCGAACCGAGCCGACCGAGGGCAATCGACTGCGACGCAACCGAACCGACCGAGCCGCGAGCGCCCTGGATCGGTACCCTCATGCCCCTGAGAACAACACCTGGGGGATAGGAAAGTTCGGGGTCCCGAGGGGGTAACAAACGAAATATCCTGGTAAGTCGTATGTAGGATGTACGGATGGATGACGAGGAAAGCAGAGGTCGTCGACGTCGTCGACGTCGTCGCCGTCGTCGTCGTCGTCGTCGTCGTCGTCGCCGCCTCCGTCGTTGTCGTCGTCGCCGTCGTCGCCGTCGTCGTCGTCGCCGCCGTCGTCGTCGTCGTCGCCGCCGTCGTCGTCATCGGCACCGTCGTCGGCACCGTCGTCGTCGTCGGCGGCGGCGGCAGCGGGAGGAGGAGGAGGAGGAGGAGGAGGAGGAGGCGGAGGAGGAGGAGGAGGAGGAGGAGGAGGCGAAAGAGGAGGAGGAAAGGAGGGGAGGAGGAGGAGGAGGAGGAGGCAGGGAGGAGAGAGGAGGAGGAGGAGGAGGCGGCGAAAAGGAGGAGGAGGAGGGGAGGAGGAGGCGAAGGAGGAGCAGCAGCCGGAGCGGCAGGGCGCCTTCGCCCCCTTCTGCGCGCGGGCCGGCGGCGGCGCCTGCGGGCAGCCGCTCGTCGGAATTCCTAACCGCATGCCCCTGAGCATCACAGAGCACGGTTTCCCCCCGGGCCGTAGGCGACCCGAGGAGGAGGAGGAGGAGGAGGAGGAGGAGGAGGAGGAGGAGGAGGAGTAGGAGGAGGAGGAGGGGGGGGGGGGGGTGGAGCGGAAGGAGGATGGGAGGGGGGAGATGAGGAGAGGAGGAGGAGGAGGAGGAGGAGGAGGGGAGGAGGAGGAGGGGAGGAGGAGGAGGAGGAGAGGAGGAGGAGGAGGAGGGGGGAGGAGGAGGAGGAGGAGGAGGAGGAGGAGGAGGAGAAGGAGAAAGGGAGGAAGAGGGGGAGGTGGAGGAGAAGGAGGAGGAGAAGGAGGGGGAGGGGGAGGAGGAGCTGGAAGAAGAGGAGGAGAAGCAGGAGGAGGAGGAGGAGGACCCAGGGACACACAAATAAACACACACACACACAAACACACACACAAATCCCAGGATTCCCCACATTTACCATATTTCCCAACCATCCTGTGGTGTTGGGTCCTCGTTTTGAAGAGACGGTTCCCGCGTTCTCCTCCTCCCGCCTCCTTCCTCCCTCCTCCCCCCCCTCCCTCCTCCCCTCCTCCTTTCTCCCTGCGTTTCACCCACCCCATACAGCGCTTCGTGGCCCAATGGGGAGCTCCACTGGAAGGCCCCAGTGGCAGGGTTCGCATGGCGACCTGGCGTATTGGCGCACCCTTCACACGGATCGTGACCCCACAAGGAACTCCACCGAAGACCCCGGCGGCAAGGTTCGCACGGCAGCCCCGCCCCATTTTGGCGCATCCCTCACACGGTTCGTGGTCCCATAGGGAGCTCCACCGAAGGCCCCAGGGTTTGCATGGCGGCCCCGCCCCATGTTGGCGCACCCATGACACGGTTCGTGGCCCCATAGGGAGCTCCACTGGAAGGCCCCAGTGGCAGGGTTCGCATGGCGGCCCCGCCTCACTTTGGCGCACACCTCACACGGTTCGTGGCCCCATGGGGAGCTCCACCCGAACGCCACGCCCCTGTGTCAGGGTTCGCATGGCGGCCCCGCGCCATTTTGGCGCACCCCTCACACGGTTCGTGGCCCCAAAGGGGGCTCCACCGAATGCCCCAGTGGCAGGGTTCGCATTTTAGCGCACCACTCACTCGGTTCGTGGTCCCATAGGGAGCTCCACCGAAGGCCCCAGTGGCAGGGTTCGCATGGCGGCCCCGCCCAATTTTGGCGCACCCCTCACACGGTGCGTGGTCCCACAAGGAACTCCACGGAAAGCCCCAGTGACAGGGTTCGCATGGCGGCCCCGCACCATTTTGGAGCACCCCTCACACGGTTCGTGGCCCCATAGGGGGCTCCACCGAAGGCCCCAGAGGAAGGGTTCGCATGGCGGCCCCGCCCATTTTGGAGCACCCCTCACACGGTTCGTGGCCCCATAGGGGGCTCCACTGAAGGCCCCAGTGGCAGGGTTCGCATGGCGGCCCCGCATTTTGGAGCACCCCTCACACAGTTCGTGGCCCCATAGGGGGCTCCACCGAAGGCCCCAGTGGCAGGGTTTGCATGGCGGCCCCGCCCCATTTTGGCGCACCCATCACACGATTCGTGGCCCCATGGGGAGCTCCACTAGAAGGCCCCAGCGGCAGGGTTCGCATGGCGGCCCCGCACCATTTTGAACGCACCCCTACACGGTTCGTGGCCCCATAGGGAGTTCCACCGAAGGCCCCAGTGGCAAGGTTCGCATGGCGACCCCGCCTCATTTTGGCGCACCCCTCACACGGTCCGTGGCCGAAGGGGAATACCCCTTGCTTCGTCCCACCTGCCCTGCGGTTCTCACACTTGCGCATGGTTGGGTCCTTCGCCAGGATAATTTCTGGGTTTTCGTCTTCCCCCCCACCTCCCACATTTTCCCATATTTTCCTGGGGATCGACGTTCAATTGTGTCTGTCTGTGTTTTTCCCATCCTGAATGCCCCTGATCATCAAAGGGTTAGGGTTAGGTCGGGCATGCCCCCCTACAGGCAGATTGTGAGGAAATTTAACATTAACCAAGGCATGTTAAAAATGATACAGAAATAATCGAGAAATCGTCCCCAGACTATTTGTTGTACTATTTCTGAATACTCCTCTTGTAGAGGGACATGCCCGCCTTAATCCCAACCGCATGCCCTTGATCATCACAGGGTGGGGATGATCAACTTCGGGGCTCGGGGGGGATGATCAATCTGTCTCCTGGCGACTCGTGTGCACGAGGAGATGCTAGTATGGTATGGCGACGTGGTGAGTTCGGAAAGCTGGACAAGGTGAGAATCCCAAATCCGGGGCTCGGTGCGCACGGGCCAGGGCTTCGAGGGTCTTCTGACCCGGGTCAATCCAGACCCGGGTCAGCAGGAAACCAAAAAACTGCAATGCAACACAAAAAAACGGCAACGCAGGTCTTCGCAAACCCGGGTCAATCAATAGGCGCGGCCGCCTCGCGGCCACGAGCGGCTCGCTAACCCGGGTCAGCCAGAGGATCCTGCAGGATCCGGTGCCCTGGCTGAACCCCGTTTGCATTGACCCCCATCTCTTAGGCCGGGAGGGCTCAGAATCCGAGGGCTGCCGGGGCGCCTGCGAGCACCGGCAGGGTGCCCGCGAGCAGCGGCGGGCCCCCACCCGAAAACGCACGATCGTTGCCGTTGTTGGGCGGCGCCCAGCGGGGGGGCGATAAATTGGAGGAAGGGTGCACTCTTCGGGCCCCTGAGGCCTCCTGTTGGGCCCCAACGGGCCCCTCTACAGTCGGGGCCTTGACCTAAGAAACCCAAAATAAGGAACGAGGCCCCTTTTTTCCATAAGTTAAACTTCGATTTTTTCATCGAAAACACAAGGAAAACCTGAGGCAAGCTGCGAAACACTCAGGAACGCGGAGCCCCTCCCTAACGAAAAGGGTTCCTTCTTCAGGGCCCCGACTGTAGGTGCCCTAGCTTGCCCCTGTCCTGCAGCCGTCGCTGCCCCCCCCCCCCCATGACGCGACGCCCAATACCCAGGGGGAGGGGTGGTCCAGGTAGCACCAGTTCCGCCCAAGAGGAAAGCAAAAGTCTCAGGGGAGACATTCGTGTGCAATTCACGGGAGCCTCCGATACCATCTTGCTGGTTCTGTGAATCGGTACTCATCGACGCTAAATCGACGCTTTCTCATCGCCTACCAGACGCTAGCGCACGCTGGTGAACTCGAAGGATAGAACTTCGATCAACGTCTTCTCATTCGGCGTTTCGACATCGGGCGGAAGGGGGGGGAGAGGGGGGGTGCAAGCTCCGGATCTCTGCCTAATGCGACTGTTTGCAACAGTACGTCCTGTGGGGGAGACTCCACCTGCTTGAAACAGGTGCCAAAAACAGCCAAGATCTACTCCATAAGGAAGGGGGTGCGAGGGCCCGCGCCGATCGGCAAAACAGTGAATAAGAAAACGATCACGAGACACGGAAGACTCCCGTGATTTGCTACCCAAGCAGGAGAGCCCAGAGCCGCATCGATAAGTCGAATCGGCGATCGAAAGCAATCGGATCGGCGGAATAATGCCTCATTGAGAAAGCAGAATATCCAGATCGGAATCCGAAGTCGCATCGGGGCTGGCATCGGAACCCATCGAGGTCGAATCGAATCGAATCGGAGAATCGAAACGGGCCCTGCCCAAGGAGGTGGGGCTCGCAAATGGTCTCGGGGGCGGCCAAGAGGGGGGCGTCCAAGAGGGGGGGAGGCGCAAATCATGGCCCGAGGCATGTGCGAGGCCCAGGGGGGGGGGCCAGGGACGCGTTGCAATAAGAAGAGGCGCCATGAGGTCTGGGGGAGACATCATGCCTCCCGCCATGATCTCCACCCCGCCCCTTAGTCATCACCCCCCTCTTTGCCGCCCCCGATGGTCGGAGAGCCTGGAGGACCACGGCGAACGTCTTCGGGCACGCGCGCGCGAGGAGCGCCGCCGCCGCGGCGAGGGCCACGAATGCCGCGCGGAGCGTGCGGCGGGCGGCGCGGCGGGGGGCCATCGCGGCTGTGGCGGGCGGGTGCGGCGCGCTGCGGGCGGTATCTGACCGATGCTGAACCGAAGAACACTCTGAGACCTCCTCCTCGTCCTCGTCCTCGTCCTCGTCCTCGTCCTCCTCCTCCACCTCCTCCTCCTCCTCCTCCACCTCCTCCTCCTCCTCCTCCCTCTTCCTCCTCCTCCTCCCTCCTCCTCCTCCCACCTCCCTCCTCCTCCTCCTCCTCCTCATCATCATCCTCATCCTCATCCCTCATCCTCGTCGCTCCTCCTCTTCCTCCTCCTCCTCCTCCTCCTCCTTCTCCTTCTCCTCCTCCTCCTCCTCCTCCTCCTGCAGCGCGCGCGCCATAAAAGGTGGTCTACGGACGGGTGGGTCACCAGAAAACTGGTCGAGAAAGACTGACCGATTGAATTCCATGATGTGCCTAAACATGAGCTGGTGCGGTCCTAATCTAAACGTTCCCCTTACGGCGTGCGCAGCACAAAAGTTGACACACGGACGGGTGGGTCACCAGACAAATAGTAGAACAGCAACTGTTTGACTTGCATTATGTGCCTCAACCTGAGGTGATGCATTCCCAGTCAATACGTTTCCCGTACGGAGCGCACCACTGAAGGTGACCCATGGACAGGTGGGCCACCAGAAAACAGGCGGAGCAAACCACCTGTTTGTCTTGCATGTTCGGGCTGAACATGAGGGGGTACATTCCCTCTCAATGAGTTCCCCGTACGGCGCGCGCACCATGGACGGTGACACACGGACGGGTTGGTCACCAGGAAACTTGTGGAGACAAACCCATGTTTTCGCTTGCATTCTCTGTCTCGACATAGGGTGATGAATTCTCACTCGCAACGTTCCCAGTACGGCGCGCGCACCACAAAAGGTGACCCACGGACGAGTGGGTCACCACAAAAGGGGCTGATTCCCCACAAAACAATATGTTTCACTTGCCCTCTGGGCCTCAGCATGAGGGGGTACATTCCCTCTCGATGCGTTTCCCATACGGCGTGCGCACCACAAAAGGTGATCCACGGACGGGTGGGTCACAAAAAAGCAGCTTTAGAAAACAGTTTGTTTCACTACAATTGTGGGCTTCAGCATGAGGTGGTACATTCCCCCTTAATGCATTTCCTGTTGTTTTTCCCGTGCAGCGCGCGCACCACAACAGTTGACCCATGGACGGGTGGGTCACCAGAAAACTTGTTGAGAAAAAATGTGTCGCTTCCATTCTGGGCCTCAGCATGAGGTGGTACATTCTCTCGCACTGAATTCGCCCTACGGCCCGTGCACCGCAGAAAGTGACCCACGGACGGGCGGGTCACCAGAAAACTAGTTTAGAAAAGCTATGTGTTTCACGTCCATGCTAAGCACCACAAAAACTGACCCACGGACGGATAGGTCACCAGAAAGCGGGTTAAGAAAAACCACCCGTTTCACTTGCATCCTGGGCCTCGACGTGAGGGGACGCGTTCCCACTCAAAACTTTCCCCGTACGGCGCGCGCACCACAAGATGTGACCCACGGACGGGTGGGTATGGGTGGGTCACCAGAAAACATGAGAACAACAAATTGTTTCACTACCATTCTGAGCCTCAGCATCAGGTGATGCATTCCCACTCAATACGTTTCCCGAACGGCGCGCGCACCACAAAAGGTGACCCACGGACGGGTGAGTCACCAGAAAACTGCTTGAGAAGGACAACGCATTTCACTTTCACTCTGGGCCTCAGCATGAGGTGGTGCATTCCCGCTCAGTGCGTTTCCTTTCCCGTATGGCGCGCGCACCACAAAATGTGAGCCACGGACGGGTGGGTCACCACAAAAGGGGTTGAGAAGAACAACGCGTTTCACGTCCATTGAGGGACTCAGCATGAGGTAATGCATTCCCGCACAATGCGTTTCCCGTACGGCGCGCGTACTACAAAAAGGTATGGGATTCCTGTGGATTCCTGGGGGGTCCTGTGTAATCAAGGGAGTATGCCCCACTTTGAGGGTTCTTCCAGGTGCCTGCGGGGGAGCCTGGAGGGACTGAGGGTTGGAGTTGAATCTAAACGAAGTTCCAAAAATTCCTGCGAAACAACGTCGAACGACCGGGCTCAGTCACCCCACCATCATCCTCATCCTCATCATCATCATCATCATCATCATCATCATCATCATCATCATCATGATCATCATCAGCATCATCATCATCATCATCAGCATCATCATCATCATCACCATCATCATCATTGTCATCAGCATCATCATCATCATCATCATCATCATCATCATTACCATGCTCATCCTCATCCCCATCATCGTCACCGTCATGAGCATCGTCATGACCACCACCACTACCACCACCATCACCACTATCATCATCATCATCAACATCATCATTATCATCATCATCATCATCAGCATCATCATCATCATCATCATCATCAGCATCAGCATCATCATCATCATCATCATCATCATCATCATCATCATCATCGTCGTCATCCTCATCCTCATCCTCATCCTCAGCATCATCATCATCGCCGCCATCATCGCAATCATGAAAAACAACAACAACATAATCATCGTTGTCGGCGTCGTCATCACCATCGCCATTGTTATCAGAAGCATCATGAACGACATCAACATCGTTATCATCAGAACCGTCATCGTCTTCCTTATTACCTTCACCATCATCAGCAATAGCAGCATCATCAGCATCAACATCATCACCATCATCACCATCACCATCAACACCACCACCACCACCACCACCACCACTCGAGCGCACCGAAGTATCATCATCACCACCACCAGCACCATCTCAGCATCCACCGTCATCATTATCACCACCACCACCACCATCATCATCATCACAACCACCACCACGACGACCAGCGCCACAACCACCATTATCATCATCATCATCAGCAGCATCAGCATAATCAGCCGCGTCAACATCATCATGATCAACATCATCATCATCATCATCAGCAGCAGCATCAGCATCATCATCATCATCATCATCATCATCATCATCAATATCAGCAGCTCATCATCGTCATATTCTTCATAACCACCATCATCACTTTCATCTTCATCTCCATATCATCATCATCATCATCATCATCATCATCATCATCATCACCATCATCATCATCAACATCATCATCATCATCAGCAGCAGCAGCAGCATCAGCATCAACATTATCATAATCAGCAGCAGCATCATCACCAGCAGCAGCAGCAGTCATCATCATCATCATCATCAGCAGCAGCAGCACCATCATCAGCACCAGCATCAGCATCATCATGATCAGCAGCTGCATCATCAGCAGCATCAGCACGAGTATCAGCATTAGCATCAGCACCAGCATCATCATCGTCGTCATTATCATTAGCCTCATCAGCATCATCGCCATCATCAGCATCAGCATCATCATCAGCATCATCAGCGTCCTAAGCATCATCATCATCATAATCATCATTATGATCAGCATCATTGCCATCATCATGATTGACATCAGCATTGACATCATCATCATCATCATCATCATCAGCATCACCATCATCAGCATCATCATCATCATCATCAGCATCAGCATCAGCATCATCCTCATCATCGTCATCATCATCACCATCATCATATCATCATCGCTTTCTCAGAAGCCCTCCTCTTCTGGTACAGTCATCGGCCTGACCTAAGGAACGGTTAATAAGGAACGAACCCCCTTTTTTCCAAGTAAGCCTACGAAATCCGAAGGGACGGCCGCCAAAAAGGTAATGGAACGCATGCAAACCAAAGGGACGACCGAGCCCCTTTTGAAAAGTAAGTGCCCCTTATTCAAGCCGCTCACTGTAAGCCAAGGATATCCTGGCGGGAGGGTCTCCTTTCCTTGAAGAGGGCCTGAGAATCTGAGGATATCCTGGCAGGAGGCAAGGTGAGATCGCCAGTCGGCGTGCCCCCTCGTGGGCGAGAAGCGGCACAGGAGGAGAAGGCGGAGGAAAGGAAGGAGGAGGAGGAGGAGGAGGCGAAGGAGGAGGAGGAGGAGGAGGAGGAGGCGAAGGATAGGGGGAGGAGGAGGAGGAGAGGAGGAGGAGGAGGAGGAGGAGGAGGAGGAGGAGGAGGAGGAGGAAGGAGGAGAAGGAGGAGGAGGAGGAGGGGAAGGATGAGGGGAAGGAGGAGGAGGAGGAGGAGGAGGAGGAGGGGAAGGAGAGGGAGGAGGAGGAGGAGGAGGAGGAGAAGCATGCCAATGCTCACGGTCTCGCGGTCCAAACCTCCTCGGCCGCGGCCCCTTCGGCAACCTGGATCCTGGATCGCGGATCGTACTGCAAACTCCTCGGATATCTCTCCTCGGTGTCCATCCGCCGCCGCCTCCACTCGGCTCCCCGGTGGCCGCTCGGGGCGATTCGGACGCACCCCCCGGAACGCCCTCGGCCAAGAGCAGCCGCTGCAGCGGACCCCGAGGCTGGAAGGCCGCCGACCGACGCAGGCGCCCGAAAGCCTCGAGCCTCGAAGACGAAGCCCCCGGACTTCCCGACCGACGGTCCGCCCCGAATCGTTCCCCCCTCGGCGCGCCGCTGGACGGAGCAAACTCTGCGCGAATAGAGCTTTCGGGTCCGTG